TTTGTAAGAGATGTTAATTCAGGAAATAGAACTTTTGACTATGGATAATGCAATTTTTTAAAATTCTGAACATTGAAGGCCTTGTAAAGCAGCACAGATGCAATTTGAAATAAACTACAGAATTAAACAGATGAGGAAAATGAGTAATAACCAAAAATTTATAAGAAAGGATTAGAATTTTTAACGGAGTAACATAGGACCAGAGCAGTAGTACAGCAGGGAAGGTGCTCATACACTGCACGCACATATCTGAGTTCAGTCTTTGTCACCTCATGTGGTCCCCAGAGCCTGGCCAGGAATAGGTCCTAACCACTGCTGGATGTTCCATATATATATATATATATATATATATATATATATCCCAAATGGAGCACTGTGTTTAAGAACTCACTTTAAATTCTGGCTTTCTATACTTTGCTTATAAAATAGTGGCAAATTTCTGGAACTTTTTTTGTTTTGTTTTTTGAGCCACACCTGGCAATTTCAGGGGTTATTCCTGGTACTGCACTCAGCAATTACTCTTGGTGATGCTCAGAGGACCATATGGAATGCTGGGGGATTGAACCCTGGTCTGTTCTCACTGTACTACCCACTGTACTATCTCCCCCCCCCCCCCCGATGTTTTTTTTTGTTTTTTAAATTTATTTTCTAGAAAAGCTGTACTGCCTTTCTTGCAAAGGTTTATTTATTTGTTTCATGTGTGTCTTAGTTAATTCGGATTTTGATAAGAACCCAAAGCATGACATTAAAAAAAAAAATCTTTCTGCAGTAGTTCCTTAACTGTCTTGAGTGGACCGAGAGTGGTCCACTCTTTCGTGTCTCTTGTTTCACATTTAGACCAAGTAACCCTGTAATCTCTACTTTGAATTATAGGCTCCTAATCAGTCACCTTACTTCCAGCATTCATCATACATGCTGAGCATGATTTTCTAAAAACGGAAGTCTAATGAGGTCACTTAGTAGCTTGGACTCTGGCTTGACTCTCTCTGCATTGCTCATAGGTTTACAGATCGAGTACACAAGCCTTTACAGAGCCATTTATGATTTGACCCTAGCTTGCTGCTTGCCCCATTTTCTACCATTTCCCTCTCAGCTCCTTGAGTTCTGTCTCAATTACTTATTCTTGAAATCGACATCAACTAACTCCTTCATGCTTTCGGTTCTTGAGCATACTAATCTCAAGAAAGATTCTGCCACAAGCAGTATCTTTCTAACCATGAGGTTAACCATAAAGTTCGCGTTGATTTTATAACCTTTCTGTTCCTAATTCCTGGTCTGCATTCATGGAGGATGGGGGCTTGGCGTTTCACATTTCTGGCAAGGCACACCCAGTGCCACCACGTACACATCACTTATCCCTTTGCCCTTTTCTTCTCCCACGTTGAGTCTCCAATGGTCTGAATAACTCCATCCACACTGGCACTTACTCTTTGCAACCTGGTTATTGCCCCCCCCCCCCCCCCAGTCCTCTGTTCATTCGGTTTGACTCCACTCCTGTTTATCCCACAGTTCATCTTTTTTCTGCCACAAGCAGTATCTTTCTAACCGTGAGGGAATCTGAAGTCACCACCTTATACAGATTTGTTCAGCGATTTCCCATTTACTGGTCCAAACCTCTCCAGCTTGTGATATGAGATCTTTCTCACTGTTTGGTAACTCTCCCTTTGTCCATCTGCTATCCTCTCCCCCGGCCTTCCCTCCAGAGTTTAATGCATGAAAGAGACAAAATAAAACATCCTAAAGTATTTCCAGGGCCCTCCTGCTAATTTCTTGCTTGTCATACTGAACTTTGAAGCCCCTTTGTCATATCGATTTAGTTAATCTGTAGAGCAAAGTACTGAAAGAGGCAAGAAAAGCTGGCTACATTAAAACGGGAAAGAGCAAAGAGTGGACCTTCTATTAAGATAGCTTGGGGAGTTCACTTTTAAATCCCTCTGTACCAAATGTATTGCTATGACGCATAAAATATACAAATAGAAACCAAAGGCTCAAGAAAGATAGAGCTCTCTGTGGATGAGTAATGGAATAGAGAAGCCGTGATCTGGACTGAAACCATCAGCTACTTTCCAGAAACCAGTGATTGGGCCCTCTGAGCAAAAGAGGACTTAAAATATTTCATGAATAAAACTTAAAGCCAAGAGCTAAGCTCCATCTCTTCAGTTTCTGAAGGATGCTGAAAGGATGTGAGTACATGGCTGCTCAGTTAAACCTGAGATGGTGTTATTTAAGAAGAGGCGAATGAGATTAACTCCCCCAGTGGCAGTGCCCTCCATGATAACAAGTAAGGAAAGATGTGAGTTCCGTCTAAGGACCTGAGAATGAAACAGAGCAGAGAGGAAATGCAAAGAAAGAGGGGAGAGAGGAGCACTATAACACAGTCCTCCCGTTGTTCATCGATTTGCTCGAGCGGGACCAGTAACGTCTCCATTGTGAGACTTTGTTGTTACTGTGTTTGGCATATCGAATATGTCACGGGGAGCTTGCCAGGCTTTGCCCTGCGGGGGAGATACTCTCAGTAGCTTTCCGGGCTCTCCAAGAGGGGCGGAGGAATCGAACTCGGAGAGAGGAGAAATAACCAAAAAATGAGAAGAAGTCAGTGAAATATAAAACAGTAAAACCAACAAAATCGAAGTCTAATAATATGCACGTATCTAGCAAAACTGGTTGAGAAAGGCAAGAAATGGGCCAGAGCAATAGTACAGTAGACAGGGTGCTTGCCTTGCGTGCGTGTGTGCGTGCCTGCATGCATGCCTGCGAGCGCACATGTGTATGTGCACACGCATGTGTGTATTGAACCCAGGGTCTCACATGGGCAAGATGGGCACCGTACTAGTGAGATACAACACTACGCTCTCCCCATTTCTTTTACACTGGTAAAATAGACACTGACTTGTTTGTCTGGGTACAGTACCCAGCAGTGCTTTGGTCCCTGCGCCCTGGATCATCCTGGAGGTGCTCGGAGGACCGGTGCAGTTCCGGGGATTGATGCCTGGTTGCCTGTATGCCAGGCGTACATACCTTAGCTGCTGCACTATTTCTTTGCCCCCAAAATAGACACTTAAAAAGAAAACTCAACACTCATGGAGCCTCAAAACAACTCCTGATTTTCCTTTAGACCATACTGAACCATCCTTCTTTCGTAACAGTTTCTTCTGAACCATCTCCTTGCTCCTTAGTTACAAGTTTCTGTATATATGTACATTTATTTCTCTCGGGTATATACCTGGGATGGGAGTTCTTTGCCAATGGTAACTATGTTTAGCTTTTTGAGGAACTGTCATAATCGTTTTCCAAAGTAGCTGAACGTTGTGAGAGTCCCATCAGTAACACACGAGGGTCTCAGTTTCTGTATATCCTCCACAACATGTTATAAGGGAAGTGTTACCTCACTGTTGTTCTGATTCGCTTTTTCCCAAATGCCCAGTGCTTGAGCTTTTATTGGACACTTATATGTTTTTGAAAAAGTTCAAATCCTTTGCCCATTTAAAAAGTTGGGTTTTCTTATCATTGGGTTACAAGAGAATATTCTCGATGCAATTCCTTAGTAGATACATGATTTGATCGTGTTTTCTCTCAGTATATGTATTGGCTTTTTACTGAAATTAAAAATATTTTAAATTTACTCATACTTCAGGTACAGTATCAGAAAAAAATCATTGCCTATTTTAAGACCAGGCGGACATTCCAGCTATATTCCTTTCTCCATGTTCCTTAGTTTTAAGTTCTTCTATACAGGATGTTGAGTCGAATTTTCTGTATGGTGTAAGGCAGAGCACAGATTCATTCTTTTGCACTGCTGGTTTTCTCAGAACTATTTGTTTTAAGACTGTTCTTTCCTGAACAAGGAAGCTTGAATATTTTTATAGCCATTCACGGTTGATGTGTTGGCATTCTTTAAGTTTAATTTTATAATTTGCTTATGTTTCATTGTTTTCATTTAGGTTCATATGGTTACAATAATGTCAGCATTTATGGTTTTGATGTACAACATTTACTGTTTTCCACCAGCACCAGAGTGCCCACGACCCTCTCCCATTGTCCTTATGTTGCTTTTAATCCACCTCTTCATTATCCTTTTCTACTCCTCAGCTGCATGGTAATCTGAATTTTGTAAATTAAGGCCAGGGTTTATCATTATCTGACACTCTCTACTCCCTTGTTTTTTTTTTTCTCTCCGTACCACAGAAGAGTGAGATTATCCAGTGCTTATTCTTCTGCCTCTGACTTATTTCTCTTAATATAATTTTCTCTACTTCCCTCCACTCACATTGTAGCCAGCTGCAAGATTTCGTCTTCTTTATGGCTCCCAATATTCCATTGTGTGTATAGACCAGAGCTTCATCATTCACCTGTCATCAGACATTTGGGTTTTTCCCTATCCTTGCTATTATACTTAGCATGGCAGTGAACATAGGGTGTGTGTGCATGTGTGTGTGTGCGTGTGTGTGTGTGTGTGTGTGTGTGTGTTAGACAATAAGAAGTGGAATCGCTGGATCCCAGGGAAGTTCTGTTCTCTCTTTGTACAGGAATTCCCACACTCTTTTTGCAGATGAGCTGAAACTGGGGAATCCAGATCAAACAACTGTGAGATACCGTCTCACACCAATGAGAACAGCCTATATCAACAGCACTAGAAATACCCAGTGTTGGGAATGTCGTGAAAAGGACCCATCAAGTACTATTAGTGGAAATAGATTGACATTTTTTTTCTTTTATACTCTTCTCTGGAAGGGGGCTCCAAAAAAGTGCTTATGGGACATGGGGGCCATTCCCAGAGTACTTGGTCCAGCTATGTGGAACTGATAGTTCAGTGCTCAGCCGGTTGATTTGGTACTGTGTGGGCCTGGCAGGGCTGGGAGCCAGCAGGGCTACACTTGGTGATGTTTGGGGCACGTACAGTGCCAGGTATCAAATTCAAGACCTCAGGCCTGCAGACTGGCTCTCTAGTGTGTTGGTTGAGCTGCACCCACTCATTTATGTTCCCTGTTTTTTATTTTCAGGGTGCTTGTCAAGTGTGCCACAAATGAAAAAAATTTCCACATCTTACGAGGAAAGAAGAAAGCAAGCTACGGCTATTGTTTTACTTGGAGTAATCGGAGCCGAATTTGGAGCTGAGATTGAACCTCCCAAACTACTGACAAGGCCGCGAAGTTCCAGTCAGATTCCAGAGGGGTTTGGTTTGACGAGCGGTGGATCCAACTACTCACTGGCCAGACATACTTGTAAGTTAGCAGTGCCGACTGCTGGGCCCCTGCTTCTCTCTGCACATTAGTTGTCCACAAACTTAATTCTTTAAAACTTATTTATTATTATTTTATTTTTTTTAAAGTTTCAAAGGTTTCATGATCAGGTTTCAGTCATACAATGTTCCAACACCCATCTCTCCATCAGTGTACATTTCCCATCACCAGTATCCCTGGATCCCTCCTGCCACGTCCACTCCCCCAGCCTGACAGGCACTTTTCTTCTTTCTCTCCCTCTTTCTCTCCCTCTTTCTCTCCCTCTTTCTCTCTCTCTCTCTCTCTCTCTCTCTCTCTCTCTCTCTCTCTCTCTCTCTCTCTCTCTCTCCTGCCCCCCTCTCCACTCTCTCTCTTCTTTTGCACATTATGACTTGCAGGACAGATACTGACCGGCCATCATGTTTAGTCCTTTACCCACTTTCAGCACACGTCTCCCAGCCAGAGATATCCTTGTCAACCATCATTGTCACAGTGGCACCTTCTCTATCCCAACGGCCCTCTTTCCCAGCCCTTGAGGCAAACTTTCAACCGTGCCCACAAACCTTAAATTGTCAAACATATTCCGAGTCTTAGCTAAGCTGGACAATGTGAATGCATTACCCCATAGTTAGAGTTACCAGAACTTCTTTCTTTTTTTTTTTCTTTCTTTCTTTCTTTTTCTTTTTTAATAAGTGAAACTGGCTAGAAACGGGCTGGAGTGATAGCACAGCGGTAGGGCGTTTGCCTTGCACGCAGCCAACATGGCCGACCCGAGTTCGATTCCTCCGCCCCTCTCGGAGAGCCCAGCAAGCTACCGAGAGTATCTCGCCCGCACGGCAGAGCCTGGCAAGCTACCCGTGATGTACTCGATATGCCAGACACAGTAACAACAAAGTCTCCAATGGAGACGTTACTGGGCCCACTCGAGCAAATCGAAGATCAACGGGAGGGCCTTTACTTTACTTTAGTTAATAAGTGAAACATCATGAGGTACAGTTGTAGACTTACAGACTTTCGTGCTTGGGTTTCAGTTATACGATTATCAAGTAAAAACTTATTTCTTAAGAGTTTAGACATGATCCTCTAAATGTTTTCCCTAAAATAATGTATTTCTGAGCTTTCTGTTTTCACATCTTGGTTGGGGTCTCCTAAGTGGTGTTCAGGGGGCAGCCAGGGGACATTCGCTGTGGGGGCCTGAGACCTCAGTGCTGCATGGGCCTTTAGGTGCTGGGGACACCTGAATCACACCGGGGTTGCTCAGGGATCCCAGCTGGTGTTTCTTCTGGGGACCTTGGGGCTACACTGGGCAATGCTCAGGAACCTTGTGGTGCTAGGGAGAAATGCACCAGGAATCAAACAGTCTGCCACATGCAAGACCTACACTCGAACCCCTCTACCCTCTCTCATCCTTTTCGTTAAAATTTTAGCCAAATTTTGTGCAAGCTAAACTCAAGATATTGCTTCCTTTCTTTTGGGTGGTTTGGAAAAGGTAGGAAGCATTGGTTTGGGGGGGGGGGTCACACCCAGATGTGCCTGGGAGCTACTTCGGCTTTGTGCTTGTGGGGTTGCTCCCAGCAGTGCCTGGGGGACTGTGTGCTGGGGACACCCTTTGGTCCCCCGTGCTCAGGGACTGAACTAGGGCTGGCTACATACAGGACAAGCACATTAACCCCTAGACATCTTTCTTGGCTCTAAAATCTAACTAATTTCTGCAAAGATGTATAGCTTGAAAAGGCAGTGATGGGCATAGGACACATTTTATTTTGTTTTTCACACCAAATTATACTTTATGTATTGTATTGCTGATATGTGTTACATTATATGTCATATATATACTTTTAAAAGCATGAAGAATTATAAACACCCTGAAGTTAATTTATAAAGAATTTAAAATTATATTCCAGTTAATTTATAAAGAATTTAAAATTATATTCCAGCAGATCATTATTCCTATGATGACAAAAGCATCATAGAGTTCAAAGGGCTTGCGTCTTTGCCCTTTGAATGAAAATCAGAAATGCTAAATTCCCTCATATTTTTTTTTATTGCAGATAACCCCCCCTTTTTTTTCTTTCCTGGCCACTGTTTCTTCGGGCTTTTCTTTTTCCCTTTTAATTTTTTTGGGGGGTTATTGGGGGAACCCCAGCAGTGCTCAGGCATTATACTCCTGGCTCTGCCACAGGGATCACTCCTGATGGGCTCGGGAATGCTATGAGGTGCCAGGGTTCAAACTCAGGTCAGTGCATGCCAAGTAAGAGCTCTACACCCCAGATAAAACGTTTTAATAGTACACAGTAAATTTAAGCACTTGCAAATGAGGATATTTTAAGAATGAAACTTTGGGGGGGGCTGAAGAAGATAGTATGAGAATCAGATGCTTGCCTTGCATGTGGCCAACCCTGTTTCAATTCCTGGCACCACATATGGTCTCCTAATTACCACCAGGATTGATCCCTGAGCAACACTGAGTGTAGCCCCAACTCCCTTCCCCTCAATATGAAAATCAAATTATTACTCTTTTCAGATATACTCAATAGCATATCAATAATAATCACATGGTATCCATTTGAAAAATGTGATGAGCCTTTTCTTCAAAAGTCAGAAGAAATCTACTACCCTCCACTGGTGCTCCTGACGAAAGAAGTTTCAGGGAAGCTTCACGGACGCTATTGCTTTGCATGTTTAGCATCCAGCAATCAATTCCTTTTCACTCTCTGTTAGAAAGCTGTTCAGACTTTTGAAACTATTCCTTGAAAAGTGTTAAAAATGCTCCCATTGAAAGGGGTTACTTAGAGATTATTGATTCAATACATGTTTCAAATCATTTCTCAACAGTGTTTTTTGTGTTTTGCGTTTTCCTACAAGAGAAGGGAACAGCAATGCTGTCTCTGCAGAAGCTCAGTGGAAGTGTCTGGAATGTGATGTGGTGGCTTCATCAGTTAATGAATCCGTGATTCAAGCTCTGTTGCTAGACAGAGTCCGTTGGATCACATTTTCTTATTTATCTAGACAGTTCTCAGTGCAGTTCATCTGTATATAAAGTTCTGATGTTCATGAATTTGCCCTGTTTTCTCTCCACTGCAGTGATGTTACCTGCAGATCATTATTCCCATAAAAGTAGAAAAGGTGGAAACAGGTTAGGAGGAGAGAAAATTTTAAAAAGCCATGGTGGAGGAGAAATAAGGGTTTTCGAAGAAGGCTTAGGAATTGCTGGATGAATGAGGGGCCTCAGTTCTCCCTTTTGGTTCTTTAAAAGGCAGAGATCTGAACTACCTGTCTGTCTGTCCAGGCCTGTTTCTGGCTTGAGTTTATCAGGCTGAGCTGGGCTCTGGGGAAGGACTTTGCATGATGCCTTCTTGGCCTTCCCTTCCAAGGTCAATAAAATGCACCCAAACATTTTCCTATGTAAGAACTTTAGAACCAAACTTGTTCTATGAGCATTTTGAATAAAAGACTAGGTATGAGAAGGGCCAAAGGTAGTACTTCTTAGCAAACTGTGTTTATTAATTCATTGAAACAACTAGAATCTGGCATGCAGGAAGTGGCTTATGAAAATGAGTTCTAGAGGTCCAAAAAGGTCTGGAAGATAAGGCGCTTTCCTTGCACACACCTGAACTGGGCTCAATCCCCAGCACCATGTATGATCCCCTGAGCACCACTAGGAGTGATCCCTGAATGCAGAGCCAGGAGGAAGCCCTAGTACCATCACATATATCCCCCAAACTCCTCCCTAAAAAAAAAGTGCTGTAGGACTTAGTGAATCACTTAAAAATTTCCTTCATCTTTTCCCTATTTTTTGCCATCTTTGTTCTATTGTAGTTCGGTACTTATAAAATACTTTCAAGGTAGTCATGGGATTAAGTAACAGTCACCCTTTTGCCCCAGTTTTTCTTCAAATGTCTCAGATTCCCTGGTTATAGATTTATCTACCTTGGGGATTTTCAAACTGTGTCTGACTTGAATTGGGATGTCTTGATTGCCTTTGTTTATCCGTTTAAACCTTGTTATCTTGATTGTAAATTGTCAGATGTCTAAATGTTCCTGAGTCTGACTTGAGCTCATTTCAATCAGTTATGTATAATATTAACCTGTTTTAATGTTAAGCTGCTAGAAGCTGTTATAGATACTGCGTGTTATTTGTTTATTTGGCATTTAGAGTGCATTGTTGCCATTAAATATTTAGTCTTTATGGCATCCTATTGAATGGGATAATAATTATTATCCTCATTTTGAGATAAGGCCATTAAGATACAATATTTGATGAACTTTAATTGCCAGTGTTTTAGAGGTATAGCTAGTGAGCTCCCACCTCGCTCATAAAGCCATTCTGGGAAATCTTGAAACATCATCAAACTCCAGTAACCCATGTTGATCGGGAGAGAGGACTGATACCAACACTTAATTCAGAAGTTATGTGGAGTGTTATCATACATTTTGTCCTTTTATGCTAAAATATGAATCTTTTTCTACTTTGTTTTGCATTCAGCATTGCTTGGGGGCTGCTCCCCACTTTGTGCTCAGGAGTGACTCCCAGTGGCACCCAGTTAGTCTCTGATGTGGTGCCAGGGATTGAGCTTGAGCCTCCTGCATGCCAAGGTGGTGCTTGGCCCACTGACTCATCTCTCTGGCCCTACTACATATGTGCCTTTGGTGGGAGTCACTGTCACTGTCACTGTCCTCCCGTTGTTCATCAATTTGTTCGAGCGGGCCCAGTAACGTCTCCATTGGAGACTTTGTTGTTACTGTGTTTGGCATATCAAATACGTCATGGGGAGCTTGCCAGGCTCTGCCGTGCGGGCGAGATACTCTCGGTAGCTTGCCGGGCTCTCCGAGAGGGGCGGAGGAATCGAACTCCGGTCTGCCATGTTGGCTACATGCAAGGCAAACTGGTGGGAGTCATGCTTTACATAAATGTCCATTCAGATCATATGTTGGAGATAAAACTGGACGGACCCTGGGCTGCTCCACTCTATGCCTTAATGCATTCAATATACCCCCCATGT